TTAAAACTAATATTATTAATATTAGTCCCATATTTATTAAAACAAATATTAATAATTATAACTAATATTATTTATGAAAATAATATTAATTAAAACTAATATTTAAAGCTAATATTTAAAATTCGGTTTATGATATTAAAACGTTTTTAAAAATACATTTGTAAAAGTAAAACATTCTTTTTGAATGTATCAACTGCTTTTTTTTTATTTATAATATGTATATATATATATATATATATATATATATATATATATATATATATATATATATATATATATCAGGCCTTGCGATAAAGCGTCGGGCGTTGTGAATTTTACTTCGTCCAAGAGCGATTTTGCGTGTAGCTATTTGCGTCGAGCAAAATATTTTTTGTTTGAGTATATTTAAATATATTTGTAAGCCGAATTTTAATGAAGTAATTTACGATTATTTTAACATTTAATAAAGTATTTTAAAAACCGCATGCAGTTGATATAAATGTTTGAATTACAAAAAAATTAAATATGCTCATTATTTACAAGTAGAAAAAATTCAGATTAAAAAAAAAGTTTAAATCTTTTTAAGCTAATATTTTAATAAAATTATTCAGCAATAGCAAAGTTGTCGATAAAATTGAACAAAAATACTTTTTTTTAGTTTTAGATTTTTAACTTAAATAGTTTTTTTACGGGGGTTTGTTAGGTTTTAAAATTATTCCATAGATTTAAAAATATTTATTAACTGTTAAACGTATTTAAAGTATTTAAGAGGAAACATTTTAAAAATTGGTAAGTGCAAATAAAAAAAATAAAAAGGAATAATATTAAAACGTATTCTACTTGATTCAATAAAAAAGTACAGCTATTAAAATTTTTGTAAAAAGTAACTCGAAAAAAATTACTTAAATAATTACAATCGCTTTTTTGTTAAAAGTTACCGAAACTCAACTTAGCGTGCTCGAGAACAGCTGCTGAAAAATAAAACGTCAATAGTTTTTCGAATAATTTTTAATAATAATTTTTAAGAATAATTTTTTCGCTGAAATATGTCTTTTATACCTATAAGATTTTTATTCTAACATTTTATTTATTTTACCAAAAATATAATTCCTTGTAAACATTAAAAATCTATTTAAAACGTTTGTTAAAGTTTTTTAGCAATACGAATGATTGTGCTTATCAACCGCTTTATGAAAATAAATAAATAAATATTTATAAAATCGCAAGTAAAAATATTAGCTATTGCACAGTTTTTAATCGTATGATATTAAAATTTCCAGTTTATTACTCGCTGACTTTTTAAAAAGAAAAAATAATTATTTGAAAAACTTTAAATTATATATTTGAGAAAAAAAAATCAAATATTAGCATATTTTATAATCTTTTTAAAATGTTTAGTTATAATGTTTTTTTATTCGTTTAGTATAGACAAAACGTGTCAAACGTCGAGAAAATAAACAAATGTTTTTACAGTTTAAAAAACGAAACATTCCAAAACATTTTTGAATAATAACATTTCTACATTACATTAATGATTTAAAGTGGTTTTGCGGTAATTAAGTAAATTGGTGCAGCTAATGTCGATAAATATGAAAAGCATATAAAAAGAATTTAATGACGTCAAAAATCACGTCGTGCTTATGCGTCACGCAGGTTTTATTCATCACAAGGCCTGATATATATATATATATATATATATATATATATATATATATATATATACATATATATATATATATATATATATATATATATATATATATATATATATATATATATATATATATATATATATATATATATATAGACATATATATATATATATATATATATATATATATATATATATATATATATATATATATATATATATATATAGACATATATATATATATATATATATATATATATATATATATACATATATATTTATATATATATATATATATATATATATATATATATGTATATATATATATATATATATATATATATATATATATATATATATATATATATATATATATATATATATATATATATGTATATATATATATAACCAGCAAAGGCCATAGTTAAACAACACGTAGTCGTCAGCAAAAGCCATAATTGATAGTTACGCTAGTTATTATAATAATAATAATAATAATAATAATAAAATGTTTTCTTTTGCAAAAGAAAGCTGAATTTGTTTATTCTACACAGTTTAGTTTGTAAAAGAAATAAATAAAAATATTTTCCGGACGGTAACTATTTTTATACTCCTTTTTTCCTTATAAGCAACTTTTCCCGATATGAAACTTTTCCCGATATGAAACTTTTCCCGATATGAAACTTTTCCCGATATGAAACTTTTCCCGATATGAAACTTTTCCCGATATGAAACTTTTCCCGATATGAAACTTTTCCCGATATGAAACTTTTTTTATTAAACTTGGTTCATATGAGTTGCTTATATAGAGCGTTACCTGTATTATGTAAACTTGACATTTAAATTGAAAACTTTTGAAAATTACTGAAAGTAATTTTCAAAAGTTTTAAATTTAAAAGTAGCTTTTAACTTTAAAGCTTTTAAATTTAAAAGTAAACAACTTTGGGGCAGTCCATTAATTATGTCAACAAAATAGGGGGGAGTGGGGGTCTGTATTTTTTTGACAAATGTTGAAAAAGGGGGAGTGGGAGGTCAAGAAAAGTTGACGTCAACACTTTTTTTTTTTGAATACGTTTCTTTTTTTTATAAATTAAACCATTTAAAAAAAAGGAAAATTAGACAGTCCTGTCGCTCAGATAGTCCATAGTCAATTTTTTAATTCTTATCCTATAATTTATATTCCTACTTTTAAAAAACTGCTTTGTGCTTTAAAAAGACCCGAAATACAGAACTAAATAACTACACACAAGACTCGTAACGCTATTATTTTTTGAGAGTTATTGTTGTTTCAGTCTGCTGTGCAATCAAAAAAGATTTATGTAAGAACATTGTCTACATTACATTGTTTAAACGTTTATACAAGGGGTACAACCTGCACCTCGCAAGCCACTTATAACTTTTCAATGTCTAGATGAAGCTCTTTAGCTGCATCTTGACATCGAAATATTATTATCTTGAAATGCACAAATATTAGTATAGTCAGGGATGCGGAGTCCCAAAAGGACTCCGTTTTTATGTCTCTATTTTTTACTGGTCTCTGGTGTCCAAAATCTCTAAACATGCTGGTTGATTTATAATCTGCTAAATAAAAAATACTCATGAAATCTAATGACTTGACATAACATATTGTTTTTTAATCCCAGAGTCCCAGAGTCCAAGCCGCCATTATACCTAAAGACTCCGGGTTTGTTCCTTTTCCGGGTGTGTTCCGGATTGTTCTTCAAACTAAAAGTCTTACCAATGGTAAACCATGAGCGTTTTTATATTATTAGAGCTCCTGGGTAATAAAAAAAGGAAGATGTAATCTTTTTGTGATATCCAAATCCGGAGTCCTTTTCGGGATTCCACATCCCTAAATATAATGTTAAAATGAAGATGTTGGTAGGTCTTTATAAAATAAAAAACTTTGTATATTGTAACTTTTAGCTTTTGCATCTCAAAAGATTGCCAATCTCTGTTTTATACAATTTGTTAAATGCGCTTTTTGTTATTCTAGATTCTATTAAAAATAATTTTCACTGTAAATTTGTATTAGGTCTAATGTTAAATTAAGGAGAATTAATTGAATTAATTTGAAACATGATTATAACTTAAAGGTGTAAACATTTTTGTGAACTCTTTATTCTTTTTTTTCTTAAGAGTAATTCTTTGTATTTTTAAACTGGAATTATGTTTATAAGTTAAAAGTTTTTTTTTTCTATACCTTTTACTTTAATTCACTTTTTGTTGAGAGCAAACATTTGTAATTTTAAATGGTTATATTCATTTGAAATATGTTCAGAAGTTAAAACTTAAATATATTTTTTTATTTAAACAATTTACTTTGAACCACTTTTTGTTTCAGTTATAAACTAGTCAATTTGAAACATTTTTTTTTTCATTTTTTTTTTTTTAAGAGGGTGGGGGGGGGGGGGTTCGAATGTTGACGTAATTTTATAGGGAGTCGACAAGTTGTTGACAAGGAGGAGGGGGAGATAAAAATTACGCAAAAAATTGTTGACGTAATTAATGGACAACCCCTTTTTCATGTGACTTACTTTTTGATGTAATCTACTTTTACATAACTTACTTTTGAAATTAATAAAAAAACTTTCTGAGTGGCTATGTAAAGTAAATAATTATAATTCGAATTTCTATAATTCGAAAGATAATTTAAATCGAACAAATTCTTCGGTCCATTAAAGGTTGAATATTTACGATTTAACTCCTATTTAAAATATATTCGAATTACTCTTGTGATTCGAACATATTTTGAGACTTCTTGAGGATTCAAATTAAATAAGTAATTTGTGTAACTTCGATCAACATGAAACTTAACTCCGATTAATTGAAACTTCGATCGACATAGTTAACGACTCTTGCTGCGTATTTAAATTTAGCATTGCGTAATTTACGGACTACAAATACGCAGCATACTTAACAACAAACACGTTACTAGAGTTTATACCTATTATTTTTGAAATTTAAAAAACAAAAAAAAAATCTTATATTTACCAAACAGCTAATACAAATATAAAAATCAATTTTTCTTCCCAAAGCTCCATATCGTTCCAATCCAAAGCTCCATATCGTAATCAATTTCCCTACCAAAACTCCATATCGTCCCTTGGCTTGCAAAACCGCACAAGTCGAAAATTTAAATAATATTTTTTGTTCATGAAAACATAATTTTTGTTCATGAAAATAATTTTTGTTCATGAAAATATTTTTTTTCAAAAAAAAAATTTTTTATTCGTGAAAAATATATTCACGAATAATCTTTCACGAATAAATTTTTTTTTTATTCACGAAAAAAAGTTGTAAGCTAAAGGACGATATGTCTATATTTATCTTCTACGTAAAAGCAAAACAGTTGTAAAACAAAAACTACCTTTAATAACCCATGTTATTGAAAAAACGATTGATCCAAAGACCATAATAAACAAGCAAATCGGTTTATTCCCAAGTCTGAACATGCTTAAAAAAGTGATAAAATATATATTTAACACTTTTAGAAATCTATTTGAAATTAATTACCTTTTTTAGGTTTTTTAAAGACTTGGTTGGAAGAAGATTTCCATTGTTAAAATTGAATAATTTTTTAACTTCTTTCTGATATTATTCTTAAAGATTATTCTATGTCAAGATTAAAGTATGTGATATTATTCGAGAAGATTTTATTCGATAAAAAGTTTTTCTTTACATAGCATTTTTAATTGGTTGTTTAAAAACAATGGCAAACGTAATTTATTAGATAATCATTACAAATTATTTATTTAGTATTGTATTTAGAATCCTTGTTTCAAATGTAATACAAAAATTGTACAATTGCCAATTGTTCAAGAACAATTTTGCTTAAATATTTTTTTCTGGTTTATATATTAGGGTTTTTAAATTCTAATTTATTCATGAAACCAAATTTTAAAAAGTTGGTTTAATAATTTTAAATAATTAAAAAGAGAAAAGAATAAGGGTGAAAGAAAATAATAGGAAAAAAAAACGAACAAATATTATTAAAAAAAAAAAAAAAGAGTGAGAATAAATATTTATCTTCACACTCACTTTATTTGACTTTATCATTCAGCAAAGTTGAATCCTTTTTCCTTAACTATTTGTTCATACTCAAAAAAAACTTATCCATTTAGTTTTTTTCTTCTTGTTTATACAAAGTGCAACTTTAAAACGTGTACACAAAATAAATGGAAAAGAATAAGTGCGTCATTTTTTTCCCGTGGTTATATTAAAATCTTTTAAATTTAAAATTAAAAATTTTAATTGTTTTGTATTTTGTTTACAATGTGTTGCGGTTTCAAAAAAATGTATTAGTTTTTTGACATAACTTAAAATTAGTTTTAAAAATGACAAAAGTCTTAAGAAGACATAAGAGAAAAAATTATGCGTAAATATTTGGAAAACCCTAATAGTAGCTATAATTTGATAGGGAAAGCGTGGCAAATACATCGTTAGTCGTGTAATCAAACGTTTTTCTCAAACAAAATCGATCAAACGTAAATCTGATGGTGAAAGAAAGAAGGGTTTTAAAGATAAAAAAACTAACCCAAGCCTTTTACAAAGGGAGCGCGCAAACATTTATGAACTTTCTCATAGTTTTGTTGTAAAAGTTTGAAATAAACATAGTTTTCATTCTTTCAAAGCAGAAAAAGTTCCTAACCGATTTGAAACTCAACAAAAAAGTGCAAAAACCTGCTGCAAAAAGTTGTATGATAATTTTATTTCTAAAAATTTCTGTATTATTGAAGACATCAATGCAACTAAAGGGTCGTCCATAAAGTACGCTTACCTTTATTTGTTGCTCTCCTCTCCCTCGCATTTTGCAATACGTTTTTTTGAGTACCCTCCACCTCCCTAAAAATAGCTAAGCTTTTAAACTATTTATCTAAGATTTTACGATATTTTTTTTTAATTTAGTGTCTCTATTTTTTTTATAATCGACTCACTGCCCTCTTATCTCATATATGCCATTTGCATACCCCTCTTCCCCTCCGAGCGTACGTACTTTATGGACGATCCCTAAGGCATAGAACAAACTCGTAAAAAAAAAAGCCGATAATTTAAAACAAATTCGATTGGTTGTTAGTGGCAAACCAAAAAACTTTTTAGTTATTGGTAATTTATGCAAACAAAGACGTCAAGTTGAAAGTAATTTATTTAAAAAGTTTACCGCTTCTGTTTTTTTGTTTACGCATTCTGAATGGAATAATTTATTATTTCAAGAAGGCCCGAGTATTTTAAAAAATGATACTAAATACCGAATACAGTTTTTTAAATTGGGCTAAAAGTTATAATTATTTATGCAAAAACAACTTTAGTAGAAAAATTAACACTACCATGTTATCTAAATCAAACGTGAAATTATTGTTAAACATACTCATTTAGGTGTGGTATTGAAAATAGTAACTTCAATTTTCATAAAAAAATGGTTTTTCATGGATAATTTTCCCAAATAATGTCTGATTAGAAATACCAAGTTACATTCATTGAAAACTAGCATCAATATGTGTTTTTATGAAAAAATCAAATTTATTATAGACTTATCTATAGCCAGGCCCCAAGGTACTTTATGTTGAAAACTGCATCTTTTCTAAATAAAACTACGCTTGACGATTTGTTATAGTCGCGTTACTTTTATCAGATTATAATTGTGGGTAAAATAATCTTTCCACACATACAAAATATGTCATACCTTTTGATGTAAAAACTTATATATATTGTAATTGAAAAAACTTATATTTTTGTTCGGAAAAACGAGTACCAGGCCTTAGTTGTATTAAGACGATGAAACTTACATCAAGTAAGATCATGAGCAAATTGGTGATGCCGTCTATTATATTGCCAAATGTAGAGGAAAAGTAGATAAGAAATTTAAATACATAAAACATAACAAGTTTGCTAAAAAATTCTTGATTTTGGCAAGCTGTTTGCAGTTGTGGCAAAAAATCAGCACCTTATATTCCTCAGTCCACACTTTCGGGTCAAATAACGTTAAAATTTGGGTTTGTGCGTATCACTCCTTCCCCTCCAAATATTTACTATATATATTATTCGGCAGGTTTTTAGTTTTGAGTACTTTTTTTTTCAAAAAAAGTTTTCGGCAATTTTTAAGGATTCACCTTAGACCCCATCATCCCCCCCCCCCCACTCTCTCATTTTAATCATAGAATCGCTTTTGGATGCATTTATTACTCACTGAATCTTGTGTTTCAAAATACGCCTAAATTCCATTCCATCTTCACTCACTGTTTTCTATTAAATTATATTTTAGCACTTTTTGAATTAACACTTCAAGAAAAAGAGCAAATATTTTAAGGTAACTTAAATAAAAAACACTTAAAAACGTCCTTCTTGTCACTCATTCTTCCAGAATTTTTATTTTACAAGTTGTTTTAAGAAAAGCACTTTATAGCTCTTTTGCAAATTGAAAAACAATTGGAAACTTTCTTTTTTCATGAAGTAAATGAAAAGGTTTATTATCTGCCTAAAAATCTTATTAATAAGAAAAGTTTTCCCAGAATTTCTACGATAATTTTCTCACTTCATTCATTCAAGAGCTAACACGCCTGAACTTTGAGCGGCAAAAAAAAAAAAAGAATGATGAAATGAATGATGCACGAACTCTCTCACTAGTAAGTTAACTATGGAAAGTTTTAAGTTTGAAAAGTTTTAAGGTTGAAAAGTTTTAAGTTTGAAAAGTTTTTAATTAAAGTTTTCCTAAGAATAAAAGATTTATAGATAAGGGCAACTTCCTATTATAAAAATGATTTTTGAGTAGAAATAAGTTGCAACAGTTTTTGTTTAGAGGCGATCACTAAGCTTTAAAAAAGATTTTCTAAAGTTAAAACTTTTAGACCCAAAAGTTTGTTCATGGTAAAACTATCAAAGAAGAAGCAATAACTAGGAACCATCCAGTTATAAAAACCGATTGCAGCTTCTTTAGCTGGTTTGTTTAGACCCTTTGAAGGTGTGTAATGAGTCAAATAGCTTCCATCTGGTTCAGAAGTTACACTTATGTTTTCTTGCTTTTCTGTTCTTCAAATAAAAGTTTTAGTAATTGAATCTTCAATCAAAATTAGAAAAGGATTTTTTCTTATCTACAAATATGGCTTTGATAGGAGCTTCAATAATGAGTTTTTCTGACAAAAGTCTAGTTTTAGCCATAAACTCTTGACTGGCTCTCCAAACCTTTTTAGGATTACATGATAAACTAGCCATTTTTGGAGTCAAGTAATTTGATTTGATCAAATCTTGAAGGAAAGCAGATACAATCGCAGATGTAGCAGCAAGAGATATGTCAAATCGAAGAGATGCTAGTGCTGTATTAGGGATCTTCATGTAATTATGTTTAGTGTTAATAAATGGGGAAGTTTTTTGATTTATATTATTAGAGCTGCCTTCTGAGGATTCTTCATTTACATTTTTAATTTTTTCAGGTGAGGTTTCTTGATTTAGGTCATGATTTATGCCCCACTAATTCATAAACTTTGTCTTCGATGTTTTTAATTTGAACCTGTGTATTAATATGAGGCTTTTTAAAATGAATTTTGTCTTTTTTCTAAAGATGCAATATCTGTTATTTTACGTTTCACTGCTTTAACCTGTCTTTCTGTTTTTTCCTTGTCTAGTTGATATACAGTATCGGACAAGTGCAACCAAATAATGCTAATTTAGTTTCTTTATATAAAAGTGCTGCATTTTTTCAATTTAGAGAAATAACTATGTAGCTGTTTAGAGAAAACGTTCTTCAAGTTTTATTCATCACAAAGTTCATTATTTGTACACGAAAATTAATAAATTAATCAAAAGTATTTAACAAAGTTGATTTCCTTCTGGACAAACAAGTGCAACTCCACAAAATGTTGACCAAGCTGTATTTCGCTATCAATATTTCGTGGCGAATCCTTTGTTGTCGATCACAGTCTTGGATTTTCGAGGCATAGGTTCAATCAGGTGATCAATGATACTTTGTGGAATCGCTTCTCAGGCCTTTTGGATTTGTTCAAACAGTAATCAGAATTAATCTTCACGATTAATTCTGCGGTTGACGATCTCCCACAGGTTCTCGATTGAGTTGAGATCCGGAGATTGAGGCGGCCAATTCATCACCGATAGGTGGTTGTCTTGAAACCACTGCTTGACTACTTTTGCAGTGTGTTTTGGATCGTTGTCTTGCTGAAAAATCCATTTTATTGGCACATTCAGCATGAGGTAACATAACTTCATTCAGGATATTTTTATACATGAAACGGTCCATTATTCCATCGATTCGATGTATCGGATCTAGACCGTTAGCAGAAAAACAACCCCAGACCATTACATTGCCTCCACTATGCTTTACGGTAGTAACGTAACTCGAGGTGTTTTCCGACCGGTCAACGTACACGGCAAATGCCATCGCTCCCAATGATGTTGAACTTCGATTCATCACTAAACAGGAAAGTTCGCCATTTCTGCACATTCCAGTCAATATGAAATGTAGCAAACAGGAGTCTTTTCTTCTGGCTCTTTAGTGAAATCTTTGCAGGGCGTTTTTAGTGAAATCTTTGCAGGGCTTTAGTGAAATTCTTTGCAGGGCGTCGATAAAACAATCCGGCTTCAACAGCACGTCGTCTGATTGTTCGGTCCG